CGCCTGCGCCTTTCACCGCCTCCCGTCTTCTTGGCTTTGTCTTGATTTTGGGTCCAGATGGGGAGGAGAGAGTGCGGTAGATGCTGCGCAAGTCTACTCTCACTATAAACTAATTCACGCGCAAGTCACGGTGCCTGCTCTCACCTTGCTGTGACGCACACGGTAGACACCGTCGGTAACGACGGTCGAACTGTTAGGTGTGTGCGTTGCCAGGGCGTGGTTACTTACAGTCCTTTCGAATATCTCGCACATGCATACATAGCTTATATCGGTTTTAGGAAAGCCACAGTGTCCCCTCACCCAAAGCCAGGTTTGCCAATTGGCTCGTGCGCGAGCCTCAAATGAGATCACGCAGTCAAATACCGACCTTGAAACCGGTTGGCCGATGGAGTGGCATCTCTCTGGAGATCCGCAGTCACCGAACAGACGCTTTGTAAGTTTATTTGAAAATCTTCTTGTTCTTACTGCTTACCCTTGAAATAAGGTGGTGGACTATGGGTGAAAAGTGGGGGTAAAATTGCTCGAAAATGTCTTACTTCTTACACGCATAGTAGTTGCTGATATTTAGGTCTTGGGATGACACTGACATCTGTTTAAGAGCCTCTGACAGATTTTGATCTAGTCTGTTTTACGGTCGTGAAACAGCTGTCTGCGTCTGGCCTGTTGCTCCCTTAGCGAGCTGCCTATGTATTATGTATGGTATGTGTCCTATGACGCAGCGTTTATTGTCGCCAGTAGCAAGGTGGCGTGCGAACAGAATGGGATCGAGTGAGATCCTAACCACAAGAGTGAGGGTCACACGCCTATATGACATGTATATTTATATTTATATATTTATACACAGGTAGAGAGATAGGAGCGAGAGGACAGAAGGCGATCTTTAAAAAATTAAACCAGAATCTGTCGACTTGCACGAGGATACCCCATTACAAAGGGATTCTTTATGGCAAAAAAATTCTTCGTTTTCGTTTGAAAGTTTTGACCATATGCGCACTTTTTCATATCTCATTTCTTTTCCATGCCAGAAGATTTTTCGTCGGCTACAGGGAAATCGGAGCGAAGATTACAAACGGTTACGCTAGCAATGCATCTGATTCGTTTTCGTCACGCAGACGCGAAAATATTCGGATCGCCAAGACATATACAATATAACTGCCCTTACCCTATGTAATTTTTCCTACCGACTGCTTCTCAGTTTCTTACTCTTTCATTTTATGACATTATTGGCTATTTTTAGATTACATGTGCACTCAAAATGTTGATTTGATTTTTTAAAAGAGAGAATGACCGCTAAACGCATCCATGTTGGCGATTTTACGGCCACTGGTGGGTTTTGTCAGGTCAAAGCGACAAACGTCCTGATCGGACCGTCCCTAAAATGCACCAGTTATGTTTTGGACTTTAGGTGTTTCCGAGCACATTTATCGGCAGTGGGCCAGAAAAAGTTTTGAAATAGCAGTCTAAATGCTTCGCCCTGTATTTCGGTTATTTCCAAAAAAGGCAAAAAAATGCTATCTGACATGCATGCAAAAAGTTCACTTCATCAGAAGTAGACATTAGTTTCGACAACAATTTAACAAGTAGGCCCCTCTTCACAGTGGTGTGGGTATCAACCGGCCCAGGTGGCGTATCGGTGCGGACTCAGTTCGTTCTCTGATGTGTGAATTCCGTGAACAGGCAAAGCAACCAAGTCGCTAGTAGCAAACCAAAATCAAGCTAAACGGATGATAGGGAGACAGCAGTTTTTTAAACTCCATTAATGTGATCTCCTGAAAAACGGACCTCAGCTGAGTCGCCACCACATAAATTGACGCACAAAGCCACATCAAAAGTAATTGTTAACAGCGCCAACATCGACTTCCACTAGTACCTTTCACGGAATAGACCCCAAAGTCATTCAGGATGGCTTGCATCTAAGACCAGGGCAATTTTGCCCAGGCGAAGGTCCACAAGGTTGCAAAGCGCTAAACAACCGTATATTCAGCCTCACTTCTTTTTGGTAGAAAGGTGCTCCCCGATCGTGTTACGGAATTCACTCATTGCGTTGTGCCTTGGGGCTCTCTCTTTCTCGAACCGAACCAGCGTACAGCGGCGAGCACTATAGGTAGAATGATATTACCCACAATGACAAGGGAGACTGGAGTGGTCGTTTCTGGCTAATTAGCCATCGTCAGCCATTCATGCCCAACCCCGAAGTGTGGAGCACCTGGGGCTTGATTCCGCGACCCCATCAGCAACCGACAGGTCCACGGGCCCGTGGCTCAGTGGTCAGGGGCATTGGACGTCTAACCAATAGGTCGCGGGATCGAGCGCCAGGTGTTCTACACTTTGGGGCTGTGTATGACTGGCTGACGACGACCAATATGCCAGAAATGACCACTCCTGTCTCCCTTGTCTCTGTCCGTAATACCATTCGCTACTTTTTATCATCTGCATTTTTTGTGGATGTGGCCTGTCATCTAACCGAAAGAGTGATCGCTGAAAGACGGACCAATCGTGAATTGCCTCCTTTGCTTCTTGGTCATCGAAAAATCCAAGTTGCCTTCTGTCGCATTCGCTTGAAGCAGTCAAATGTTCCCGCAAGCGGACAAAACAAGTACCATGACTGCTCGGCCATAGCAAGTGACGATGTTCATCGTGTGCTGGTTTCCCCCTCCCCCCGAATTGGCTCATCATTAGTGGCTTGCGTGTAACGTTGTTTGTTGTGGGGCCGACTTGCGCAGCATCTGCTGCACCCTCTCCCCTCACCCACTTTACTCAGATGGCAAGACGGCCGGAGGCGGGCGCGTGTGCAGTGATTGATGAAGCTAAACAGCTAGTCTGCGTGTGCCACCCTGGGTACATTCTGCATTCCAGATGTACCAGGCTACAGCACGCGCAGGTACGATCTCCTATAGGTGAGAATATCGTTCGAATACTTTGCCGAAATATCTTAAGATACATCCTCGTTCCAAAGAGGAGTTACAGTCGTATAAAGCTTATAACGCAGGTCGCATTGTCTGCTATTCTTCTCTGCTGCATGTAGGGTGTGGATTTAGCATGGTTCGAATGTAATAGTAGCACAATGGTTAAGTCTGAAACAGTGCCTGAACCAAACGTGTGTTATCGAGATTTACCTACACAAAATAGCCAGGCAGACAAAGACGTGGAAGAAACACCACCATTTGGAGTATGGAAAGTTCAGCCCTAAGAGATAAGGTCTCAGACAGCGTGGCCACTAAAGCTTATGGTGATCGACAAACTGGGTTTCAAATTCGTTTAGGGCATGCCTTCGTTGCCGTCAGCTCAGTGTGTGTTTGTGGGGAGTGACGGACTGGTGGACTGAGAGTCAGCTTGTAGTGGGTCCTTCTTAATATGGCCTCTATGGGAACTCTCACTCAGTGGGATCTGAGTCGGTGCAGTGGCATGTTTAGATATGGGTTTCTGCAGCACCAGCAATCTGCGCCCTTACCCGCTTCCGGTCTTCTGGACTATCTCATGATACCGAATCAAGGTTGGCGGGGAGAAGAGAGTGCGCTAGATGCTGGGCAAGTCTTACATCACTATAAATTAATTCATGCGTGAGTCACCGTTCCTGCGTTATCATTGTTGTAGGGCACAGGGCGGACCTCGTCGGAATGGACGTTCAAACTGTCGTAGTGGGGTGGAATAGAGGACTTCTGTTTTGCCTAGAAATCGTGCGGCAGGTCATGTATCGACGAGCAACTAACGATCTCGACGACCTAACTGTAGGCAGGCAAGAACGACCAGCGCCATTTCTATATGACTGTCTGGTGTAGACTGACAAAGACGAGGCCTGCGGGCTCGAATATGGGTCTTAATGCCACCTCTGGAAAACCCAATTTGTTTCTGCCCACTACACACTTTTGGCAGCTGTATTGTGTGGGGTCCGACTGCCAGACCTTTTAACTCTTCTGACATTCGTAACCCATCACATCCCAGCCACCTTCACACCAGCATCTAAAAAGCATAGAAGAATTAGTTCTAAAACGTTAGCTGCGGCAGCGTTATTCGAGTTGCCATGGTCACTCTGAAATTGGAGGGCGATTATATTACAATAGAATTTAATGTGACTACTACTGTGTCTCCTCTCTGCGCAAAATACTTCGATAGAAGTTATTTCCTAATATTTTACTCATAGTCCCCTACTTATCACCTTGCAAATCTCCTCAGACGTCTAAATACATGCAACATTTTCTAGCATGCTAATACTTTTAATTGGTGCCGTATAAACTCGATTACTTGGGAGATCATCGCGTTGAAGCGGAGGACAGGTGCTCTGGGAGGTCTGCTTTGCCGGTTGCTTCAGCGTTGACTCATTCGGCGTCAGGCCAATACAAACTTAAAGCGACCTTCTTATCTATTTCGCCGAACTCTCTGACGACGAATATGAAGAATTTGAAAACTTCGACAATTCGGAGGTTTGTCTCTGATCCCGTAATAAAACACCTTATGTTTACATCTCAAACTCCAATTACTGAACTGTCAGAATGTCTTTTGACACTGTTTGGAGGCAACCTACACTTCTATTTCAGACCTTTTACAAGGGGCAAAGACGAATTTGAAACAGCGTTTTGTCTTCTAGGCAAGAAGGCTGTAAGCCAGCTCCCCAGTTGGTTTATGACTGCACCTATCTTTTACTGCTAGTTAATGAACATCGATCAAGTTTACCACCGTCCCAATTTAGGCTTTTTTGAGCTTCCTAATTTAGTGGCGGATTGACAAAAAGAAACGAGAACTCAGATGTTAAGGCCGAGTTTTGAATGTTCAGAAAGGAAAAGGTATGATTTTCTCAGTGAAGTAGGAAAGAAAAATATTACGGAGATTGCAAATGACACGGAGTCGTTATAGCTCTCAAGATTCTGTGGCATGCGAACAGTCTGCATTACGGTTATTTGTCGAGTCTCTTAAACGACAGAGTCACGTGTGAACGAATTCCATGCAGGCTGCCGCTGGGTGCACCAAAAGTCGGTGTGGGTGGAGGTCGGCGGGAGAGCGCGTTAGCAGCGATTGGGGTTGTCTTGGTCAAAAAATCGTTTAAATGTGAAGTCCGGGAAGGAGTGTGGTGCACCAGAAAGGCCAAAGGTGCCACTCGCACTGCTCTGAGACCCCTCGGGTTCCTCCTTGTCTACATCGTCATCCACAGCGTCGAAATTGGAGGTATCCAGCTCGTCCATGATCTAAAGTCATGAGAGGGGGGGGGGCTGTGAATTAGGTCTATTGGCCAGTTGCTAAAAGAAGAGGTTTGAAAAACGTCTTAGATGGAAACCTGGCGTCCTCGGATGTAATCGAACGACCGATCTCTCTACTCTGATTAAAACATCTACCAGGGTTTATGGGGTAGTCAGAGCGCTCGAAAGATCAGGGTTCGTGTTTCGTCTCCGGGGGCACAAGTTTTCATGCAATACTAATCTCGTAATTTCGTAAACAGCATCAAAAATAATCACTATTTAGGAAGAAGGCCATCGAGTAAACCACCTTATGGGTAAGTCATTCAAGGGCTTAGAAAGCGAAGTTAGATGGTACGTTTTCGACTTGCCAGTCAGCCGCAAGTTAAAAAGGATTATCCGGTCGACGACACTCTAATAAGCAGGAAAATTCAGAGGGTTAAGTCCCACATCCAGGGGGGATGAACTCTGCGAATTACTCCCTCTCAGAACAGTCATCTAAACGACTTTTGGAGTACGAATCAAACTTATTAGCAGTTGGAATCTGTAGAGATCAATCTTTTGCAAATTTTAGCAAATTCTACCCCATAGCGTTTCTTCAGTGATTAGGGCTTGCCCTTGGAAAGTAAACATTCCACATGCGCCGCAAATTAACTGATAAATCGCTGCCATCAAAAATCTCCCGAACGGAGATATTTTGGACCGAAGGTGTCGTAGGACAGCCGACTACAACAGTCCATGGAGGTTTTTACAGCTGATGCGATGCAGTTCTTACGGGAAGAACGCCAGTTCGATGTCCCGTGCAAATCTGCCCCTACAGAAACGATGAACCTCGAAATTTATCGGACATTGTGGACGTAGGCGTTGGAGAACCGCAAGAAACGACTTTGGTTAAATTCTACGTTCCTCCATCGTCTCACTTGTGGATTTTATACGCGGCCATTCCAGTGTATTAAATAAAAATAAAGTCGGTTCATCAATACTATTCTTAAAAATAATAAAGCAAAGGTCTCCTGCCAAGCCAAGTCCTGCCGCTATTGAATGTCAAATTTTAGTCGGCGTCAATCCTTTACACACTGGCCTTCAAACCATCAAATTATTCACGCTAAGGAAATACGGTAAAAGGCAGAATAGTCTCTGACACGCCCAAGTGCTCCAGTTGCAGAAGCTCTGTCTTAGGACGTATGTCGCACTTGGCTCGTCAGTGGGTTCAGTAAGTCCTGGAAATCATAGCCGATGGATATGACAGAAATAAAATGTTCGGTCAGGCATATGTGGTGCAGAAGCACTCAAACGCTTACTTTTTAAAATTCAAACACTAACTCCTGCAAATAGATTGATATCCAGCGGACCAACATTGCCGTGGGACATTTACCGAGTCCCGTCGCCCTATTGTGGTGGAAGTAAGTGTTCAAACTCAGTTACAGACGAAGCGGAACGACAAGAAGTTTTCAGTAACTTATGTTTTCATTATGTGGGCGATTTTTCGTACTTCGTCAGTCCCATTTCCCTACTGGGCTAATGCGGAGTTGAGCCTTTCTTGTTTCGTCTCCCACGCAAAATACTATGTTCAGCGCATGAGATCAAGTTTTCGTACTACTAATGTTCTGGAAAGTAGACGGATCTTTGAGGTATATTTTTGCTTTTTGGCATCAATGGAGAAATTGGTCTGTCCTCCACACTTCTAATCTCATTTCCCAACAGAGAACGCTGCCTGGACTGACAGAGGAAAAAAATCAACGTCATAAAGCGAGACTGAGAGCTGTAAAGGTAGGGTTTTTACCACTGGGACGTATGGAGGCTTCTGTGTGGGGAGGATTTCCCAATTAATCTCGGCGAAGAAGTGGTGTTTCTTCAGCTGTTGCGGGTCGGCCAATCGGTCCTCGGGGTCGCAGAGGAGGCGTCGGATGAGGTCAGCGGCGTCACGATGGAGACGCGGTTCACCGGGAATGCGAAGATGGCGCGACCATTGGACCACACGTATCTGTGTGTCCAGGGCCGTCTGAGCGACGAAAGGTGGACGGCCGACGAGCATTTCATACAGTATAACGCCCACTGACCACCAATCACACGCTTGGTTATACTCTACCACGAAGACAAAATGCAAATATATAAATTACGCCTACTGTAATATAGTGAGTAAACACGGCTGAAGAATTTGCGAGCGCAGACTGGCGAGACTCACCTTGGCGACGCAGAATTTCAGGGGCGATATAGTTCGGTGTGCCAACAAGCGACCTAGCACAACGACGGTTGGAACAGCTTCTGATCCTTCTGTCAAGGGTTTGATCATGCATTGGGTGGAGTTGATCATCCCTCTCGGCATTTCCAGAGTCGGCCTCCTGCTGTTGATCTGCACCGGTGTTTGCACCTTCTTGATTTGACTCACCGGATTGAGGGTTTGAAAAAATCGGATCCCAGTACTTGGAATTATGTGTCCAGCGAAAACTCGTGCATAGACCGAAATCCGTCAACTTTATATGTCCATCACGGTTAATTAGAATGTTGTCTGGTTTGATGTCCCTATGCAACAAAAGGGTCGTAAAAATAGTCAACTTTGATGACCTACAAAGTCTTCTGTTCTAAAGTTTCATGTGGACCAACGTAGGAACACATAAATGAGGAAGTCATGGAGTGTTTTTGAAGATTTAAGGATAAAAAAGAGAAAATGTGGGTGTGGCAGGTGCTAAGAACATGTTTTTTCACAAAAACGAACAAGTTATGAGTGTCTGACTTCAGTGACACATTTATGAAGAAAATGAAAGAAACTCTTTACAAGAGTTCTTCGTATTAAAGGTCGGCACGCTAGCAACAAACTGTCTGTGAGGAGCGCGGACAACCCGCAAGTAATGATGCAAAAGTCAAACAGCTGCTAGGAGTCCATATCAATGCACCTTTTCAACACATGCTGTACCACGGACGTCCATGAGGTTACATCAAAATACACTGGGTCACGTAAAAGAAGGAACTTTAGCATGGCACATAAACTGCGGTCAGAAGTGATGGCTAGGCGCCTACTGGGAGATCCCAGGAAACCAAATAACAAAAAAGCAAGAACATTTAAATGCCGAACAAGATTTCAAGTGTGAGAGAGGGAGTGAGTAAAATAAAGAGAAAATTAAAAGAACAATTGTCTATGAGGTCCCCTTAAAGTTAAGTTATGATACACTTGTCAGAAAGACTACTCACCGATGAATGAAGCCAAGACGATGCACACTCTCCAGAGCCAAGATCAACTCGGCAATGTAGAACCGGGTCAAGTCTTCCTCAAAAATTTCCTTCTTGATCAGAAGCGACATCATATCGCCACCTATATGTGCATAAAAGACCGTGCAAAATAAGGCCTGAAAAGTACTTTTCAAAAGCCCACTGAGTATGAGAAGAAGTAGGTCCGAGGGAGGAGGCTACACTGGAAGATAGCACAATAGAGAGGAGTTCATATTGGCGCGTCGACATTTTTATTCCTGTGAGGAAATTGGTTTGAAAATCTCAGGTACGCAATAGCCCTAAAATCTTGTTAATTACATTGCTAGGTCGCAGTGTGGAAACAAAGTTTTTGTGCGACCACTGGAAACTACTTGTGCTCCATCTAGTGCAATCCCATTCCCTAACTGGCGCACATTATCGAGTTGAAACTAGCAACATAAAAATACTGCCCAGATACACGGAGCAGAACTCGCATTCAACGCATAGATGTTCATGTCTGACAGATAGGATGGACATTGGGACGCAGACGTGTGCGTGTCCGAGAAATCTCCACAGCGAACAGCGTATGAAAATGAAGGTCACCGAAGCGAACTTTGGTGACTTTTAAAGATTTCGCTGCACGCCAAATGTCCAATTCGAATTCGGTTGTCAATTTGGCGAGGTTTGGGCCTGCAGTCCCACCTGAGTGGTTAACTTACAAACAAAATCGTGGTAGATGCGGATACGTTGACTTCGCAAATATCACGTGTTTGCATCTTCCTTACCATTTTAGTTCAGCGAGTAACTGTGCCACGGGCGAGGAGAGCTTATACGCCTGCCTCGGTTAATTCAGATATCATTTCACGTGCGCTTCCCGATGCGTGCTTCGAGCTCTGCCTGCGCTCTCTCTATTATCTTAATCCAGCAAATGGCCGTGTAAAATTGCTAATGGAATTGTTCTGACTGTGTGGTAATCCGTCGGTTCCACTACAATGACCATGCATTGCGAATGACCACGCGGTTCCCACAGTGGCCTTCCAGTTGTGATTACTCCCTCCCTGACATCGACATTCAGTGAGTGGCTGTGTCGGGGGGGGGGTGTGCGTACGCGCCACCTTCGCTCGTTTCCCTGCGCGTGCCTCGGGCTCTTCCTGCGCTTCCTTTCCCTTCCTAATCCAGCGAGTGGTTAAGTTACGTATGGTAACTAAAATGGTTTTAGTATATTAACCATATAGAATCACGCAGTTAGGGCTGCGGAACCAAGCCATGCCCTCAATTTTACCGCCAGATCGACAGCGTGGTGACAGGGTCTCTCCTTGGACCGTTATTAGTTGATGTCTTTACGGGAAAACCAAGAAAAACCCAGCTCAGTCTACTGATAAAGGACCTTTATTTAAGAACTCGATATGTTAATGACATTTGCGCTATTGCGGATGAAAAGCTTGATTTGAGCACCCTCCTGTATAACGTGAATCAGGATCACTTAGCGTTAACCTTTACCGTGGAAAAAGACGAGGGAGAGTGCCTCCCCTTTCATGATGTCCTACTTAATCGAATGCCGGATGAAAAAATTAGTAGAAGTGTATTTTGCAAGGAAACATGGACAGAAAAATACACAAATTTCTACAGTTTCGTTCCCCTAAACCAGAAACGAAGCTTGGCCCGCTGTCTCACCAACAGAGCTAGGAGAATATGCACTCCAGGTAGGCTTGACAATGAGCTTGCAATTATGCGAAACACTGCTAGAAAACGTCCACCCTGAAGAGTTTATCAACAAATATACGGGGAAAACGCCGGTTAGATCGCAGGTGGTAGCCAGGACTGGGGAGCGGACGGCGACCTCAACCCTAATCCCAACCTTAAACCTAACCCTAACCTCAACCTTAAACGTTAAACGTTAACCCTAACGGCAATCCTAACCCTAACTCTAACCGAAAGCGTAAACATAACCGTAACCCTTAGACAGAGCCGTAACTGACAGGCCTAACCGTAATACTGGAACCTATTTGTACGCTCAAATCCTAGCCGGAACCCGAAAACCTAGGCCTAAAGACATAACCCTAACCTGAAAATCGGAAACCATTAACCGGTGCCCTAATCCTAACCTCAAACGTAAAACGGAAGCCAAATGGGTCATATGAGAGTATGGAACCCCACAAAATAGCCCCAGTAAACGAACCCCCAGCCATCTGCAACACGGGGCCTGGCTACCAACTGCGATCTAGCCGGAACGCCCTCCAAAATCGGATGTGCCGACAGCTGAGAAGAAGGAGCTATTTCTCACAATGCCATTTCCAGGATATCCGGCGAGCAAACTCCTACCTCGTCGCTTAAACGCTGCTATCGCGCACACGTACCCATACGCTGAGACTGGTTTTCACAAGCTCTCCGTTTCTTCGGCTTAAAGTTAAGGATAGCTTAACTTTTCAGACCTTTTCAATGTGCATCTACGCCTTCACTTGCTTTTGTCGGCAGGTTATATTGGTCGAACTGCTAGGCGTCTATCTAAGCGGATGCGAGAGAACCATCCTGCGTGGCTAATTCGGAAAAGTCTATCCCTAGCGCACTTGTTTCTCACTTGACTTACAGCGGCCACCAGATGGACGTAAACTAAGCATTCCAAGTGATCTAAGCTGTCGGCAAGACACTCCAAGTTCCCGCGTCAGCGAATAATTGCAACGACAGAGGCAGTGGTCATACGGTTAGCCAACCGGGCCTTGTGATCGCACTAGGCGTATGTACAGGCGCTAAGGCCCCCCTGGATAAAGACAAACCAAGCATATGTGTTCACACCCTCCACGTCGCTTTATCGCGATGAAGGGCGGACAGCTAATCGCCAGACACCGCCCCATCCCCCTTCCCTACGCCCCAGACAGAACTAGAATCTGACCTCATAACACCCCTCAACCCTCCGCCCCACACTGACTTTTATTGGATGTTTAACTTCTGCTATTCTGCCCTCCCTTATGTTACGGTACAGGTCTGATGATGAATAATCGAAAGCGTACGTTTGCCGGACTTGACTTACGTGTCTACATGGGTATTATCGCTGAAAAAGTATCTGTCAGGTCTTTACACGATTCCCTGTTAAATGCACGAAGACAAAATGACCGCTCGACGTGGAGACCTATTACGTCTTCTGACAATACACAGACAAGACCTAAAGCACACATTTGACTTCGCTCTTACGAAGTTAACTGAACGATCCAGGTGTACGATAGCAGGACAGGTAACCTATACATAGGAATTCAGACACAAACCGGTCAAACGATGCATGGGGCCCCTCGTGTTAGGAGGAGCCGTCCTAACCGACTCGCCAGCACGCCGCCCGACCGATCCATCCACATGGCGTGCGCGTGGCGATGTCGTGCCGGCTCTCGACGGGACCGAAGGTCAACCCAACCAGACAGATGACAGCTAACCGCTCAAGGACACTATCTGATTGGTCCGGTTTCAGTTGAGCCTTGGATATTCTCCTATGTTCCATGCTCGTCTGAAATACGGTATTAGAAATACGTCAGTACACCTCTCTTCTTCCAACCATGTTGCTGAGCCCTCATTAGGGGAGTTGGTTGAGGCTTTGGTACAGGGGCGACCATCGAGACTGATGGCAACGTCATACCACTTCGTGCTGATAGCAACGCCTACAATGAAGCTATAGAACATAGATCGGCTCCAATGTGCCGGCTCGCAAGCCGACAGAGACCAGATCTCACTCACTGGGGTTCCACACTGAGAAACATATTTCTAAGTCAGATTTGGGCGAGCCATCGAATCGTGACACTCAGTCCCGCAAAGCGGGATAGCCCGTCCATTTACAAGATAGGTCGCTTTAGGCACTGTTATAGTTCAGTTATGTCTCCGTTTGATTATAGTTAGGGAGACATGTGCGGTGTCGACCCTTATTCCAGGGCCAAAAATGGGCCATAGCCACCGGAGATAAAGGAGAACGGGGTGGCTGGAATGACACAGCGCCAAGATACGGCTGAATCCTATTCCATTACCGAGGAAGGCTCCTTCGGAGAGTAGTTGTGGCTGGGGAGATACACCGGCCATCTTTATCGGGATTGATTTTGTCGAAATAGTTACCTGGTTGTGGCCAAACCAGGGGGAACAGGGATGGGACCTGGGAGTTCGGTAGGAAGAGAATGGAATGGCCGTCTTGAATGGTCAGACATCTAGCAGGTACCGTTCGTCTTTTCAAAGTTTCTATGCCATGCAGGAATTTAAGCAGAAAGACGAAACAACTTCAGATGGCCTCAACAAAATCCGCATACAATTTCCTCCCCATTTCTCGATTCATCAGCCTTTGTCCCCATGTGAGGTTAACAGTAGATGTCAAGCGCCCCTGAAGTAAACACATTTGTTGGCTTAGAAGTCGCTGTAACCGAGGTCCGCCCGTGTCAACTGCATATTGATAGATTTTTCACCAATGATCGCTAGCGTGGACCGCAGATTCTCTACACAAAGAAAACGATCCGAGATATCGGACTTTTTCAGGACTCAGGTACGGGTAACTTTGTCTTTTAATTCTTTTCAAGTAGTCCATCTCAAAATTGGGAACTTGTTAGACTTCTTCGGATCTAGCCTAAATATTGATTTTATTTTTTGTGGGGAACTCATAAGGAGACAAATGTGCCGACTCGATCATAGAGCTGATCCGGCAGGTGATAGCGATGATTACCTTCAGTTAACGAGAACCGGTCCATCGCATGCCCCACGGAGTGCACGCAGGATGGTGATCTGCGAGTGAATTATTTTGGAGTGAGGCAGACTTGCGTAGCATCCACCGCATCCTCTCTTCCATCACCCACCTTCTCCGATGCCAAGACGATGTCGAGGCGACAGACGGTGGGTGTGGGTACAGTGATTTACAAAGACAAAACAGCTCATCTACACGTTTCCACACAACCTGGTCTTCACTAAAGGTATCAGGCTTCTCGAATCTCATACAGGGAAGAACAGCGTAAAAGGAACAAAGTTCAACTGAATCCCCGCACTGACAACACATCCCATTTCGGACCGTACCTGAAGAAGTCCGTTTCGAAGGACTTACTCGGAAATTAAACAAGGCAAAATAGATCCCCAGTCTCTGTATTAATCAGGTCACGGTACACGAGTTTAACTATATACGGATGATCTTCAGACAGAGACAGACCTACAAAATTAACCCTAGACGAAAGGACGGATGCGGCCAGTTATCTCCGCGGCTAATTTACTCTGAATGACTGCCTAAAAGTCCTCATGACTCCGTCTAATCATGCCCGCCGCAAAATCGGAAGATTCGACATGCCTTAACGCATATCATTAATGCATCGGGGGTGTGTTAAAGTGTTAACCGCAATTCCAAAATGTGTTTTCGGCTAGATCGCAGTTGGCAGCCACGAATGGGGAAGCGGACGGCGACCTTGACCCTTATCGTAACCGTAACACTAACCCTAACCTTAACCTTAAACGTTAACCGTTAACCCTGACGTTTGGCTTCCGTTATACGTTTGAGGTTAGGATTAGGGTACCGGTTAATGGTGTCCGATTTTCGGGTTAGGGTTATGCCTTTTGGGCTTAGGTTTTCGGGTTACGGTTAGGGTTTGAGTTTACGATTAGGTTCCGGTATTACCGTTAGGTTTTACAGTTAGGGCTATGTCTAAGACCTACGGTTATGTTTACGATTTCGATTAGGGCTAGGGTTCGGGTTAAGGTTACGATTAGGGCTAAGGTCACCGTCCGCTTCCCCATTCCTGGCTGCCAACTGCGATCTAGCCGTTTCTAATTATGGGATTTTTTAAGATCGCGCAATGTCCCTTCACATAGCATCGTATCTGGCCGTTTACCGCAGTCCGCACCCATTACAAAATTTTATGGGCTACATATGAAACCTTTTTAATGGCATAGAAAAGTATGTGATTTTCGTTAGGCGGGACGCATGCACCTTGTAGATTGAAATCACTAAGCGCCAATGCAACGAATGATCAGGCTCCAAATTATTCGGCAATTAGAAAATTTTTTAAAAACCTAATTATACTCCTTACTTAAGTATAAAATATAAAGAAGACATGATCCGCTATTAATTGTTTATGGTTTCTATAGACATATTTGGATTTGGAAGACCATCGAAAATTAGTGGGAAAAACGCATGCTACTTAAGCAGTCATTTTTTACCGAGTAAGGTTTCCACAGTAGATTGAAAAGCAGTGTATTCAAAAGTTGAAATCCTGCCCAGTCCGAACTGTGATAAGATTATGCCGCAAGATAATCAGTATTTCGACCGCGACCAAGTAATGCTTCCTAATCGAAAACGCATTTCAGAATTTCAGCCACCATTTTATGCAATCTGTCACTCACTGTATACTATCGTGGGAAGAGGTTGCCGATCAGGCTGCGATACGAGCTCGTCCCCTTACACCCTCCCTCTAGAACCCTCTCAAGCAGTCGCATAGTGACCAGTAGTACATGCAGAGAAGGAGTAACGGCAAAGGCAGAGGATACTAGAGCTAACATTTGCGGATTTCACACACACACACACACACACACACACACACACACACACACACACACTGTTTTTGTCACTAGGACGTTTCAGCCTATCTGTCCTTTTAACAAGCAAGGAAACGCTACTTGACAGTGACGCGAGCGCAGGTGTCTGTCTGCCGCTGTGGAGGCGGAAGTCGTTCTTTGTGATTATGAGATTGTGCGTCAGAGGCAGCAGATGGGAAATGACATAGATGGAGGGCTCTGCATTCCACACCGCACTCCCAAACAGCCCCACAAAAGGCAGCACGCACACAGCAGCTCTCAAATTCTCCGGTCTAATCCCTCGCGCGAACCGTCGTCGCCGCCGCCGCCGGGCAAGCGGTAGTTACATCTGCGTCGCCCGATCGATATGCAGTGCGCATGGGCAAAGTGCGTGACGCACAGACACACACACACAGACTGATGCTGTGCTGCACGACGGCAGTGTGTGATGTGTGCACACACACAGACATGTGGGGGAAAAATCACCAAGAGGTGGACTGATGGAATGCAGATGCACGCAGGCAGGTTCTCTTACGGACGCCGAGGAGGCACAAACAGGCGCGGGCGCGCCCGTACACACAGGAATTTCAGCGGGTGGATTGCCTCTCAGCTGAGGCAGTTAGCACAACACAGGTAGCTGGCACTCACACAGGCGCGCGCGCGCGAGGAGTCGGACATAAGCCCGGACATGGTCACACGTGCCCACATTCCAATCCAGGTACTTGCTCCTTCGGAATGGACTGGCTTACGACCAACATGGCTCGAGTGGTCTTGGTCTCACAAGGTCGGCGATTGGGACCTGACCGATTGTGGAACAGGTCCTGGTGGGACTATTGCCAGTTCGAGTAGTTCCGCTCCGTCCAGGTGAAAACGCCGGCAAGGGACGAAATCAGGGGGGAGGTGAGAGGTTAAACCCACATTTAACAGAAATGAGCCTAATCGAACGGATTGGCTGTAGATGAAACTTTACTGTTGTTGAGCGGCTTCCTCTGCACAACCTTTCGAACGACTGCTGTGAATAACTGTCATTCGGCAGCAGGATTTCTGCTGGCAGTGACAGTTCCGCAGTCTGTGGGCATCCTTTGATGGAGTTCTGGCCGTGCCAATTACGTTTTTTTATTTTTAATCCCCCAAAACAAAGACGGACATTGTAAAATCCTGCCATAATTCAGGTTTCAACCATATGAGATTACTGAGGTTTTGCCGTGTGCTCCACAGCAGGAATGGTGACTTAGAAGTGGACTTGCGCGGCATCTACTGCTCTCTCTCTCTCTCCTCTTTCTACCTGGATCCGATATCAGAGCAGAGTCCAGAAGACTGGAGAAGACCGAGAACCAAGGAGGGCCGCTGCCTAACCTATTGCTCTGCAACAAACAGCTAGCCCTCATTCCATAACAAATTCGCTTCGGCTTCAGAACGCCAGTCTGGTATCCTTTGATTGAGTTCTGGCCGTACCAACTACGTTTTTATACTTTCAACCCTCAAAAACCAAGATGGACATTGTAAAATCATGCCATAATTCAGGTTTCAAGCATATGAGATTACTGAGGTTTTGTCTCCCGTTTTAAAGAAACGGGGTTTAACGTTTAAAACCGGATAAATGAAGCTCTCCGAGAACGGCAGCATTTGTTTAACTTGGCCGGGATTAACCCGTAGTGCAAAGCACAGCAGTGGCCTTGCCTTATAAATCATATGCTTTTCAAAATTAAAATGGTAATGGCAAGTTAACTGAGTGTGAAGCAGATGTGATGGATATTCCGGGGTGGTCGTACGCATATGCGAAAACTAAATCATTGCTTGAATCCCCCAGAGACGATTAGTTGTCAGAACAAAGATTTCTGATGACGCTTCGCTATGCGAACATGTAGTTAAGGCGGCCGCTTCGAAAGAAATAAAATGCTACTTCATAGTGCAGATGAACGTTAATTCGCCTGGTGAACAGAGTCGGAATAAGTTGTGTTTTTTTTGGATCAAGGATTCTGGCCAGTCTCACCAGCCGACGGAGACTACTGCCAACATCCGGTTAGAAAGGCGCTGCTGGGCAGTGAAGACATTCACCAGTCAAATCGATCCTCAGCTGTTTTAGAAAGAACTTCACTCACGGACAACAGGCGCTAAGTTCCAAAATAAAAGTATTCATTTACCGGTTGTTTAAAGAAAAGGGCTCAAAAAATCAATCGACTAAATGAACACAGTTGGAAGACAATGGGGTCGTTGGAAAGGAAACTGTCTGTCTCCGGATAGTTCACTCGGTTGTTCAAAACCCTGATTATCCATGCTTCACTAGCCAGCAGTTGCACCAGGCGACATATCCGGGAAATAGTTTGCTCCGATGGCTGAGCTCGAAGGTGGATATCTCCATCAAACACTAGTTTTATGTTTAATTATTGTGCTACACGATTCGTGAAACCTCATTGGTAAGGATGAAGTACATGCCTGGGGTAAAGTAAATTATGGAGAACTGCCTACTATATTTATCAAAAGTGTTGTTCTGTGGTTTTGAGTCGGCTCTTCGTCGGCAGGATGACACACGTCCACCTGTACCGCCTCTAGAAGCCGGTACTGCTGAAGTGTTTACACGGGTTCATGAATTTGCACATGCTACACGTAATGCCTTATTAAGAGGAAAGCTCAATTTAAAAATTGGGTTCGACACAGAAAGCGGTCAGGTGGTAAAAAAATACCCGAAATAGTTGTGGAGGGAATGCATACGTCTGTCAGTAAAGCAGGAGTGTTAAGAAGCTGGCGCATTTGGTAAACAACAGTTGGCATTTTCTTGCCCCGCGCATATACTTAATCCTTGCCGCCTCATTTATCGGCAAGTAACATTCGTTAGGTCTTGACATCGCCACGCAGACAGGTCCCAGCCCCAACGTCGGATGACTGACCGGTTTGGACAGTGAATAAGAGAGGGAAAAAGCAGAGGGAGGCACTGCGGTGCACTCCTCACTATAATAAATCTGACAGGATGGGCGAAAAATCATGCCTTGAAAAGCTGTAAGACTGTCAATTGATGGGATGACTCGGTCCTCCCCGTTTGCACTGTATGTATACGGAATGCCTGGTTAGAAAGGCAAGAGTAATACTCAATTGTTCCTTCTTGATGTGACCGTTTGACGAAAAGTCAAGGGGAGCCTGAAGGTTTGTTGCCGACGGCCATCGTAGGCATGTCTGGCGTCCTTGTTCAAGGCCCCGTTGCAACAAGGTCATCCGCCTTCGCAGCGGGCGGTTCCAGACGCGCTGACCTGTGACAATTTGACCGAATTCAACACGGACACGCCACCGTGCGGCAAATGCAACAGAAAACTGCAAAAGCGGCTGCCTCCACTGCCTCACTAACTCTCGGACATGACTGGACGCAGTCAACACCAGCCCTGGATTTGCCATCGGTCACTGCCGCCTGAGAGGACGAGTCAGGGTTCTGTATGCAATAAACCCCTCACTCTGGTTAACTCTGTCTTTTCCTACAACTCGGGATTTGACCTGATAATTGCTGCGTTTCGAGTAGACTCTCATCGCTTGGACGGTACAGACTATGATGCGCAGGAAGGCTACTAACACCTGCTAGATCCTCAATCGCTATAGTTAACACACACTGCTACATGTAAATTATTTACAAGAGGGCAGAAACTGATTCCATCTAACCGAATTCCACTGCCGACGGGTATACCGTGGCTTTAGAGAACGCGGGAGACAATGCAAGCCAACCATGAGGTTAACAGTGGAGAAACTGAAATTCTGATGGGCATTATGGTCTATTGAGAAAGTGGTCGAAGTAAGTGCTGGTCACTTACAACCGCCAAGAATCAACATCGTTCACATACACGAGACTATAACAGAACGTTCGATCATGAGATCTAAAGCCCCCTATGGCGAGTTGGAACGGAGAACGTCGGGCATCGTGACCAGTGTAATTCTTGGGAAATGAACTATGTTGGAGAGATTAATAAGCGAGCGCAGACCCGTATGAGTGCACATGCATGGGCAGTGCGGATGAAGAAGGTAACTCCGCCAATTCCGGATACAGCTTCACTTTCCGGGACGTCCAAATCTCGGGCCGAGGGAACGGCCAAGCAAGTTGAAAAGCAACTGAGAATTGGCATACCAGCACAAGTTCCAACAACAATTGTGTGGTTCTCCCTGTGACTTCCTAAACCCTACGAGCGCCACTTAATCAGAATGAGTACGGACAGAAAATCAGATCGGACGTTTGCGTAGACAGACTCAACTCAGGCGAGAATTGAGGCCGATGAAACTGTATGTCAGACAAAGAATCAGTGGGGAATGCGGACCCATAAATGTTCTTCTGGGGCCTACACGCAAGTCGTACGTCAACGCCGATGATTAGCGATGGGCCAGATCTAGCATACTCATTCTCCCTCCTCGTCGCTGATATCTTTTCCTGCATGTACACCTATATATATATGAATAACGGAGGTAATATGCATTCCAAGACGATATAATAAAGGAGAATGCTCGTCGGAAAATCAAGATAAACTCTTATATACTTACATATACATAGCAGAGGAGGAGACGAAAGTGTTTGGTGGCAGGTTGATACAGTACTGTTTCGGGCTTGTTTGCCTTCAATCAGCCAATCGTAATTCTGACCACCAGCTGTGACCTGAAACCCAAACATGCGCACACACATCCGGCGTAGCTGGCCCACCCACATACTCGGTCGTCACCCCCTTTGCTGTCATAGCTTGGCCGACTTCGGCCTGGTATGCGGTTACCTGTTCGTGGCCCCTATCACCCATACGAAGCTTGTTTGTTTCTGGAAGCTAATGGATTGGCGCGCGTCCATTCTTAAGTGAATATATACCTATATATCGGAGGTGGGACGATCAAGAATGCTTCGATAAGCGTACAAGGTCCAAGTGGGTAATAAATGTCACGAATAGGTCGTGTCAGGTTGAAGTCAGGCAAAATATGATAATGGAAGGGCAGACGTGAGAAAATGTGGTTTACATATATATTCGTGCAGTTGTGGCCACACGCCGATCCATGATCTTCCCCCCCGCAAAGAAGCTTCGAATTTGTGGGAGCGCGTACGCCCCATATGATTGATCCCGTCTATAGGCCATTTGCGCTGTGTGTGCGTGCGCGTACGTTCGCACGTGTGATCCCAACTTCTAGCCAAGATAATATGTGGCCGAATGTTGGCTGAATAAACCCAATACATCGTTGTCTGAATCCACCTATATGTGTGGTCCTGCCATCATATAATGGTTGAATTCGCCTGGGTAGACTGACGACAGGCTGACACCCCAAGTAGAATGACCGCAGGCAAAAGCAGAGGGAAAAGAAGCGATAGAAGACAAGTGGAGAGCACAACTCACCGGGAATATACTCCATGACCAGGTAGAGTGCATGTGAGTCTTGGAAAGAGAAAAAGAGTTTGACCACCCATTCGCTGTCCGCCTCGGCGAGGATGTCGCGTTCGGCCTGGACGTGGGCAAGCTGCCGCCGTCGGACGACATCCTGTTTCTTAAGGATCTTCATTGCATAGAGTTGACGGTTCTCCTTCTTACGTACAAGCCATACCCAACCAAATGCTCCCACGCCTAAAGTATGAAAGGAAAGAAAGCGTCCACATACGGAAAAAACATTTGATTAGGTACTCTGGCAGAAGGCCGGTTGCGTTTGTCATATCTTCTTTAGAAGTAACGTGATTCGGTCTGAGTAAATTGACCGATTCCTTAGCGTGCAACCCTAGGTAATCCGAAAGAATTACAAACACAGACAGGGGCGACTTTGAGGTCATTTCTGGCATGTTTAACATCGTCGGTTTGCCGTTACACAACCCTTGACGGTCTAGTAAGTCATTTAGGCAAGAGAGCTCTGATGTAAGCTGCCCAGCCGACACATTCGCGCCATAGGTATTTGCACCAAGGATGCACGAGGGGGTTAAACTGGAGGTTCAAATATTAACTCGTGTGCACGCTACCAGCCGGGAAGCTGTCATCAAAACAATCAGCCGCGATACTTCCCCTTATCCGAGCTCCTCACCCTTACATTACTGCGTGAAACCGGGTAATAAGAACGGATCGGAAGGCTAATGCTTACAGTGAGTGACCGATCTCATGAAATGTTGGCTGAAATTATGAAATGCGTTGTCGATTGGGAAAGATGATTTCGTCGCGGCTGTAATACTGATTATTTTACGGTAGAATCTTGTAACATTTCAGACTCGGCAGGATGTCAGCTTTTGAAAACACTGCTTTTCAATCTCCTGTTGGAACCTTACTCGGTAAAAATGACTACTTAAGTAGCATGCATTTTTCTCATTGATTTTCCATGGTCTTGCAAATGCAAATATATCTTATAGAAACCATTAACAAAAGTATGCTTTCCTTCAGTCAATTAATAGGAAATTACGTCTTCTTTATATTTCATCCTCAAGGAAGGAGTATAATTAGGTTTTAAAAAAGTTTTCTAATTGCCGAATAACTTGGAGCCTGATCATTCGTTGCAGTAGCGCCTAGTGATTTCAGTCTACAAGGTGCATGCAACCCGTATAAGGAAACTCAAATATTTTTCCATACCATTAAAAAGAGATCATACAGAGTCCATAAAATTTTTAATGGATGCGGACTATGTTGTACATCTCATGAGGAGCTGTGGTAAACGGGGAGGTACGATGCTATGTGATCTTAAAAATCTCATAATTGGAAAATTTTTTAAAACCTTATTATACTCCTTCTTTGAGCATAAAATATAAAGAAGACGTAATTCTCTATTAATTGACTGAAGAAAAGCATACTTTTGTTTATGGTTTCTATAAGATATATTTGAATTTGCAAGACCGTCGAAAAGCATTGGGAAAAATGCATGCTACGTAAGTAGTCATTTTTTACCGAGTACTATTCCTGCAGGCAATCGTAAAGCAGTTTATTCAAAAGCTGACATCCTGCCGAGTCCGAAATGTTATAAGATTATGCCGCAAGATAATCTGTATTACAGCCGCGACGAAGCAATCTTTCCCAATTGAAAACGCAGTTCAGAATTTCAGCCAACATCTCATGAGATCGGTCACTCACTGTACATCGTTTTGAGCCTCTTCCTCCCACAGACTAGCTGGTATTTCAATACGGTTGATGTGACGACAGAGGAAAATAATCGGTGTTCATCTGGAGTGGGTAACTTGTGTTCTTCAACGCTCAGCCAATCACGACGCGACGCTCAGTCTTTGGCAGCCGTAAGGCTCGTTATGACACTGCGGGGCCCTAGGCAAATCTTAGATTTTCCTAATCTGAATGATGTACAGAGATCGAGAATTCTTGAACAGACATCGCACTGATGCTCAGATTGCCTGTGCAAGAAAGTGGATGGGCATGCCTCGTTGCCTGGACAGTGATGGAACCCTCGCTGTCAAGTCTGTAAGATAGCGCTCCAACGGAAACGATACAGAAGACGCCGTCAGAGGTCCGTGTAAGGGTAATCATGAGAATTCGCGTTATTCTGCGTGGTTGGAGGCTTCCCGATCGGTCCCATTCCCAGGGCACACTTTCGTTAATCGCGATTGATATCGAGAAAAATAAGGGAGGTTGGAATGATCACTTCTGACATATTTTCTATTGCAAACAAACCACAACCCTAGCAGAGCCGGGTTGGGTTGATAGCTGGGACTGGAACTCTGGTATTTGGGTCAGAGGTTCACGCGTTGTAGCAACCTATAGGAATGCCTAAAGTCGTTTGATATCGGCTCCCACGCATTTGAATTAATTGGGAAAGTCGATATGGGCGTCCCATTTTGCCACGGAGGGCAGACAAATAAGCCGGAAAAGGCCATTATGCTCGGTGCAGTCGGTGGTAGTTTTTAATAATAGTTCTTCACGATTATGCAGCCTCCGACGACTCTGCGGCGGATCTCTACGGCGGGGCGAAATACCAAAACTCCGCCTAGCAACCAGGCAATATTGCTGAACGCAAAACGTGAACAGCGGCTACCAAATGGTAAGGTACAACTAATCTTGATTAAGCTGGTAATTTGGACAAAATTCGTCTTTCCCATGAAATAGGATGATCCTCACGTCGACCATCCGCTCGGGCGCTTTGATGTTTCATTTTGCGTTCTGTTGACAGAGCACGCATATTCTGCCAGCTTGTTCGGTTTACTGCTAATAGACAATTTGACCGCCTAAACGACGACGTCTGCTGCGTGTCAAACAGAGTGGACGCAGCGGACATTTCGCGTAGATTAATTTACAGTGGGGCATACTTGCAAAGTGTTTACTTCGCCACCTCCTCCTTCATCCATTTTGCTCCGATGGCGAGACAATGTTAAGACGATCAGAAGTGGATGTGGCTGCGGTGGCTGACAAGGCTGAACATGACAGTTCGACCGCCGATTCCGACGATGTCCACCGTGTGCTACACACCAAGGTGCAACAGGCACGGTGACTTGAGCAGCATCTACCGCACTCCCTCGTCCTCACTCCCGACCTGGACTCACTGTCAAGACAGAGTAAAGAAAACCAGAGGTGGAGAAGGGCACAGGTGTCTGGCACGGCCGGACACACACCTAGGCGTGCCGCCCCACGCCCTGTTCCACAACATACACTTGACCAGGATATTTCACCAACAACAACACTCCGACAGGGGCCAGAGCGACGAGGTTGACTGGGCAGCCATTTCTACCACCCGTATGCACTGTGGGAGCGCTTGCGCATCTACCGGTAGAGAACCAGGTGTCAGGGGACTGCCAGCGCATACCAGGCTGCGATGGCCATGGTTTGCTGATATTGACATAGCACACGCTTTCAGACCCTTTGACCTAACAAAGGCACATACACACACACGCGCTCACCGAGGCGTTTGATCCGTATGAACATGCTCTCGTCCATGCGGGCCCGCTGCATGCGCATGTAGTTTGACTCCTTTGTCTGTAACATCTTGCGCATCTGGGCTCGCGAGGCCTCGCTCAAGCCCATTAGGGCCATCTCAGCCTCCAGACGAGCCTGTCTCTCTTCGCGCTCCTTGTGTACTCGACCAACATTGGCAAACTTCTGCTCAATGAAGCGTCGGTAGACGGCAGGCAACACCGGCTTCACTACTGAGGGGCAGACTGGCAGAGGGTGTGGTGATGAGGCTGGTGAAGGCGACCGTTGCCGTGGTCTGCCCGTGGACGCAGTCGGAACGCGGGGATGAGTTTGCGGTGATGGAGTGTCTAGATCGGGTGTCAGACGTCGATCCAGGAGACTCTTCTGAGGACAGACTGGGGACACAATGGGGTCCAGGTCGCCGTCGGAGAAACTGTCGAGGTTCGAGAAGGTGGAACTGGAGTCGGAGTCGGAAGAGTAGTCTGTCGCGCAGCCCTCCTCGTCCTCATCTTCAGACGAAGCGTAAGTTGGCGAATGTTGTCTGCCTTCTCCAGCTGGAAAGACCTAAGAATCGATAGTCAAAGGTGAAATGAGGAATTCTGAAGTAAACAAAGCAAATTAAATCTCATCCGAATGTTTAAAGTGCCAAACATTACGAACAAATAGAGGTCAGCGAAAGATGAACTTGGGTTCAGAGACCCCTCAGGTAGTCACACAGCGAGGGGCAATCGATAATCGATTAGTAATATCGAAAAAGGCCAGGGAGACTGAATTGGTCGCGATTAGTTCACTTGCCCTAACCAGCTAGGCGCAGACCAATCACGAACCGCGAAAACTCGGGAATCGAACTTCGGTCTATTTCGCTGTAAATCAGAGATGAGATGCAAAACGGTATATACGTGCTCTACTCTAGAGGCAAGTCAAGTCGGTGAACGCCAAAACTTGGCAAATTGAAGCATCCTCGCTTTCAGCGGATAAGTATTTTGCCTATGGCTCAATTGGTAAGACGCTGAGCTCAACCGTCTCGCCAACCAGATTCGTACCTCAGGCGCCCGCTACCCAGCGTTGGTGGATGGCAGGATGATGACGGAACATCAACGACAGATTGGCATGGAACTGCCCGTTATATTACAGAACCATACCAGGTGTCATTATTTAGCTGAATAAAAGACCGAAAAGCTTAAGGGGGTTCGAATGTTATTTGGTTTAAGACCCTACGCTACTCTCCCTTCTAGCGCCTTTACACTTTTCAAAAATGTGAAGAAAGCGCTGACGGCGACGAAACGTATGGCTGGTACATAACAACAGCTTCCTACGTCGCCATCAGAATTGCTTTTACTGATGGATTAGAAAGGGCCAAATGCCACCCGTAATGCGAAAATGGTGGTAAGAGGGGTTGTACGGGTGGGACGCCTTAGCAGAAGGGAGACCTTGCGTTTTTAAGCATACGAAAAGGAGTAGGACTGATTTATACGGCCCCCTAAAAAGGGCATGGGAATAGGACCGCTTCGCCCAATTAATAAAGGTGGATCTGTGCATAATTCTGGGAAGGGCAAAATATCCTTGTGTCCTAACTCCAACAATAACCCCAATATAAAACCAAACCGCTGTTTTGACCTTTATGCTGCCCAACACCTTAACTCTGCAGTTAACACTAGCCCCTACGCTAACCTTAGACTTGGCCTTGACTTAACCTGCCGTTAACTTTAAATATAACCTTAAACCTAATCCTTAACCCAACCCTCACCATAGGCCTAACGCTAATTTCAGTGGAAGTTGGCCCAAAGCCACCCGTATTGCAGGCGGTTTTACATCGACTGTCCTGTTTGGGAGGCTTTCAGTCAGTTCTACTCAAGAGGGAAAAGATCGAATTGGCGCCCAAAGTTTATTTTACGGTATAAAGGATGTGACGAATGGAACCCGCTTAGTTTAACACTCAGGCGGTAGGAAGGCGCGCGGTTTTACAGATAACCAATCTCGAAGGGTAATGACTAATAGGATGTCAGGAAAACGGTCTAGGTCGTGCCTCTTCATCTGGATATCGTAACGACGATGCACAGAGTTAGGGGAACGGGGAAGAGGTTTGCGCACATTCATTTCCTAACTTACAATGTGTTCGGTGTTTCGGATCATGCTAAACTCTGAAAAACATAATGCTGCATAGACTGGCAGAGATACGTACCCTGTAGGGCAGAGGCTGTCGGAAGTTCTCCCTGTCCGGAGTTTTCGGTCTTTCGAGGGATGTGCGCCGACTCTGTCGAGAGAGGAGGGGTGGGGGCACTGGTGGTTCAGGGAGATGCTGTGGTCTGGAGCGTCCTGTCCTCTGGAGCCCCTTAAACGCCAGCGCCCCGGGCGAGGGAGACTTTCTGGTGCGTATGAAATCCGAAGGCTGGGCCGGGACAACGGCTGTATCTCGTGGATGCGCCCCCGAAGGGGACACCGGGGGCTTGAGGCCGTAACCACGGTGACACTCTGAGGACGGCCGATCATCGTGCGGAGGATTCAGTGAACTGGGTCGTTTGGCGCTTATGTGAACGTCATAGTGAGGTTTAGTCAACAAAGATAGATGGGAAGGAATGCAGTTGGAACAGACGGAGGAGCATAGGAGAGGGAACAGAAATGGGGGGGGGGGGGGCAAGAACATCGATCAGAGTAGGCAGGCAAACCGATTAAAAAACTGCTTTTTCGGCTCAGTAGATCGAAATAATGGTAAGATGTGGGTATGCAGCCCCACCTGATGAACACAATACTGTTGGATTTGGGGTTAGGGGTTAGAGTCAGGGGTTAGGGTTAGGGCAACTATTTCGCAACCACTCAAAGTACAACCGCACATTGTCCATAGCTTTTCTTTTCTATACATCTACTTGACCTCGTCGCTTGTGCTTTCTCCGGCTCCACCTTAAGCAATGACCCACTACTCATTTTTGATTGCAATTAAGATGTTCATTTTTTCTTCTTAAGAAATGTAAACTATGGAGGCATTTCAGGTATGTAAGAGGTGACACACACGAAGGCATGACAATAGCATTATCAACCGTATAAGTTTTTGTCATGTTTCGAAAGTTGTATCATTTTACATTCTGCTAAGTTATACAATCCCAGTAAAATAAAGTATGTAGTCATTTCTTATCGAGTCCGTTTTGACTAGTTATCGGCTCTCTTTGTTCAAAAAAGATATGCTCCTTTTAAGACGCCTCCGTCTTTACCAGTGTTTATTATGTCAATTGGTCGATATAATAGCATAACGACAGTTCACAATGGTCAAACAATTTGTTGATTAAATGCTAGATGATGTTATCCATCTCCTTCACTGTGTATCGGTTGCTTTGAAGCATATCTGCTCCATGAAATTGACTCCCGACATATCAACGCTCTGAATTACCATTTCTTTCACGATATCCTATGTGTAAGGATACGGAACCGTGAATCTCTTTCTCTCTCTGGTTCTCCCCTCCTTCGCCCTTCACCATTTCATACTACTTCTGTTTGTGTCCACTTCTGCGCTTGTGCCCATTGGGGAGACTGATGGGTTGAGCGACCAGGCATCTTCAGGAATGAAATGAAAAACACTACCATCTCACTTCCAGTGTACTTGACTGACATAGCTCATCGAGGGGGCATTGACGTTTTTCGAACGATCCGTTGATCACAGACTTGCCACTCAAGTCAACAAAGGCTAGTGCAATCAGATTAGAGAGCCCACTAATCTGAATGCGGAATAATTTGGCACGGCTTTATCGAATTGAAGGCCATTCAACGACTACCTGACTCGCCTATATTAATAGGTTCTTTCCGTTCTCTTTATACTTCCCTACCCACAGATCTGCACCCGTTACTAACCCAACTGCCTCTTCTCAGCATGCGATCCCTCATCCCCCTAGGACAAATGTTCATAGGTCTTCCAGAAATTCAGCTATTTGTTTACTCAGACTGACTACATAAAGAATTATAGAAAACATACGTTCTTCATAGTTCAATTGCAGTCCGGAAAGGAGCATTTTCGCAGATTCCTAATGGTTGCCAGGGCTTTATAGAAGACATTATGCCTTGAGCAAAAGGTAGGCGGAAACATGGTAGAATGTGTGAGCCACTGCATACCTGGCAGTTCCAGAATGTTTCTTGGTCCTGCCAGTGGGAACAGGAGATGGACTGGCGGCCTGTCTCAGCCGGATCCCCTCACCGCCTGCAACCGGTACCATCACAGCCGTGGAGCCGCGTGTACTCCTGGAGGGCGGTGGGGGCAGCGGGGGTCCCTGGGTCCCTCTGGAGCCCCGGTGGGGATTCTGACTGGATGACCGTGGGCGGCGGAGCGAACGGGGTGGCAGCGGTGGCGGGGACCGCGAGACTGAGGGCATCCCAACCCCGGGGGCGGCGGCGGGCGAATGGGTGGCCTCGAAGGTACGCGGCACGGACCGTCTGGTTGAGAGGTCGGGTGTGTAGATGAGGGGTGCACGGTCAGCTGACACGGACTCACCCCCGTTCGGGAAGACTGAATGAGGTGTCAAGGGATGGGGTCCATGCGGCAGCGGGTAGCCTGTCAAATGTTAATTCGATTTGCACTAGTGGCACACAATAAGTCTCACAAAGTAAAGTCAGAAGGTAGCAAGTGTTGGCGCCTAAGTAGAAACTGTTACGACAGAAAAGATTTGGTCGGAAGGAAATCAACCGATTTGTCTACGAAACATGCACACTACTAGATTTCCCCCCTAAATTTAAAACATCGTGGGTTTGAGATTTAAAGCACCGCACATACAAAACTACACACTCGACTGAAAACTTCTAGTCGCAACTCAGTCACTAGATAATTCCAGGTTCCACCTCGATGCTACATACAGATTGAATTTCTGAGGAGACGCTTAGACCAAGCTGTCATATGGACCTTCTCGGCAGCTAAATTCTGGGAATTATTCTCAACTAACTCCATTATAAGTGGGAAGGAAGGTCTACGTTTACCGGTCAGACCACCTCTTCCTTCACTTGTTCATGTGGAGGCGGCTGCATCAGTCGAATTAGTCGGCGTTGCTTAGAAATTAAGAAACTGGAAACGTGAGCTGCGTCACCCCTGCACACGTGGTTGATTTTGAGCATCGCGCACGCTCCAGTTACTCTATAGAAGTTGACCAATTTCGCTGAAATGTTCACTATAACCTCAAGACTGACACAAAGAGATTGCGATCCCCACAAGTAATTCTGAACTACTGCCTTTATAATTTTTGAAATTCCTAGTGCGTTTGTACCAGGATCACACATATAGAAACCACAGGTAGCGTCCGCGCGAATTCTACTGGTGGCCGAAACGGCCGCTGTTCCGGCATTTAACCGTAGAAACGTAGACGAAACATGTGTCCGGGGAATTCCAACGTCAGTTCGAACGTCGTGGAAAGCGATGTCCACTGTGTGCCCCGCAGTGTGGCGGACGCAGCACCGGTGACTTGCGTTGCACCAACCGCACTCTTTCCTCCCCCACCACCTTGACGGAGTCAGGACGACCCGATGTGGTATCAGGCGCAGTGGCGGACAAAGCTAAACAGCTGGTCGATGCATTCCACACAGTATCTGGTCCGCGCACGATGGGCCGGAATTCCACAGAGCTAAATGGGCGGCTCTGATCAAATCCCGATGGAAGGAGCCATTGGAACACGGCACTCCATCCTGCGTGGATCGAGTTACCCAGTAGATTAGCGGTAGTCCAAATTACACTTTTAGCAGGTCATCATGATTTTAAGCGCGTCATATCTTTTAAAGTGAGGAATGCACTGAGGTGCTGTAGGAAAGCATTCCACGGTGACAAGCTCGCTCTCCCTCTTCCTTCTTCAGTGCACCGTTCGGCTGTCCAAGTCGGTCAGCTATCTGATTTTGGATTTCTGCACAATTAACGGCGAAGCCTGGGCCTGCACCTAGGCGGACCGTCTTCACTCAGCGCACCTCCTATATGGCCTCTTTGAGGAGTGCAATTTCGACATATATGTGCGTTGAGAACTACCGACAGAAGCAATGGAGACTGGTGTGGCTATTTCTAGCTTACTATCAGTCGTCAGCCAGTCATACCCAACCACGGGTTTTCAGGGCCTGGGAGTCGATTGCGCCAAATGATAAACGGTTATTAGTTTTTATGATTACGTACAGTGCCAACTGTTTTTGACAGCAGCTGGCGAAGGCCTGAGGAATCGTAATCGAAGAACTACGTAAGCATTCTTTAAAAAAGAACATATCTGACTTAGAATTACATTTCTTTGGATGTTCACTTGCCAATACATATGTGGACACACATATATATGCAATGGTAGAAGGGCGCTCACCAATAGAGCTACGGGACCCACTTGTCACGTTGTGCCTTAGGGCTCTCCCTCGAGCCCCGCCAGCAACCGAACAGCGGCGCGTGATGTAGACGGAATAGCATCACCAACAAAGGCACGGGAAACTGGAATGACGGTTTCCAGTTTGTTAGCCTTCGTCAGTTGGTCATACCTAGCCGCGAAGTGTGGGACGCGTTTTCAGACCACCAGGGCTCGCTTGAAGTCACGGCTTGGAAGGCTACCAACTGACGGGATAACTCGGACCTCGCGGTCGGCCGAGTTCATGTGCTTGTGTGGGGTGGTCGACTGGTGATCTGAGAGTCAGACTGCAATGGTTCCTCCATAACGTGGCCTCTATGCCACTCCCACTCCGTGAGATCCGAGACAGGCACGGCGGCATGCCTAAAGGCCGCCCTGGCCCTGGCGTCAATTTGAATTCCGAGCAGTCCCCATTTTTTCTTGTGTTGGTGTATGAAATCCTGCTCAGTGTCTGTTGTGGACCAGGGATCGTGGTCGTACGCCTTGGCGCGGCATCGTTCACTATGCCATCCACCTGCGCCCTCTGTCATCTTTGGTCATCTCGACTATGCTTCGACCCCGGGCCCAGGTGGGGAAGGAGGAGAGAATGACAAAGATGCAGTGCAAATCTAATAGCACTATAATCTAATGCAGGCGTAAGTCATCTCGTCGCGGGGCGAACTGTGGACATCGTCGATCACGACGCAACGTCGGCCTACAACGGGCGACGCAGTAGATACCCTGTTCCGACACGAGAGCTAGATCGAGGTCCGGCAGGCGCTACTAGGAATGTGCATCCCTAACAAGAGTGTTACGGCACGCCCACGTGCACGCTCACGCCGCGCCAGTTGGGGTCCGAGCCGCGCCCACTCTTTTGTTGTTGCATAAAATCCTGGTCAGTGTACGTTGCGGACCAGGGTGTGTGTTGGTAAACCTAGCTGCGGGTTTCTTGTCGTGCCAGCTACCTGCGTCCTCTCTCGCCTTCTGTATTCTTGACTCCGGGTCTAAGTGGGGAAGGAGGAAAAAGTGCGGCAGATGCAGCGCAATGTACAATAGTTAAACTAACTCACGCAAGTCACCGTCTCTACTTTAAAATTGCCGTGGAGCATACGGTGAATGTCATCGGTCACGGTGGTCGAACTGTTGTGCGTGAATCTTGAAACGAGTATTTATCTCCGCGGAAATTTCCAAGGAGAAGAAATAGTTGCGCATTAATTTCTGGATGAAAAGAACGATTTTAAACTAGGAAGGTCTTGGAACAAGGTGCTTTTACTCCTTTTTAATTTGCATAAACGGATGACGGTAGTGAAACCGATTTCATGAAGTAGTCCGCGTGAGAAACGTGTACGCACCCTATGCGCCCAGATAACGGAAAATAATTCATTACGAACAACACAGCACACTAGTTTGCATCAAGCATGAAAACAAGAATACGAAGGACAGTTTTGGTAACCTCTACACTTCTGACGTGGAATGGTCGGTATTTTGAGACTCCAGTGGGGATTGACTAAGGTAGCGAGGATTACTTCCAATCTCAATATGCATGAAGCTAAACGAACTTTAGCGCAGAATTTTGTCACCCCACTGAATTGGAGGACTAACAGTTTCCTTGAGCTTTAGACCCTTAACATAAGTATTTGCGTTTTTAAGCGTGTTCCGCCAACTATGCCAATCATAGTCATGGAAGACTTCCCCTCGCAAGATTCAAAACTGGAAAGATTCCCGCAAGTATGTGCCCTGTGGCTGTCGCAAAAGTGTACCTTAAGGTCTAAACGGTGAGCAATATTTGACAGGAATAGTAAACATTCGTCCAAAGTGGCATGACACGAAATACACTTCAGCTATCAGGTAATTGCATTTACATTATAATCGACGCGAATGAAAAGTGAGATAATCTTGTTTCAAGTCTGCACTAGTACTCCGACACTTTCCCATTGAATTTGACGTTAATCATCATTCTAATGGGGTAGGTTTTACGAGGGTACTGTGCCAAAGATAAGCACTCTTTGTAAAAAACCGATGAAAATGAGCCGCAGGAGGGAGGGAGGACAGTAAAAACGCCCAAACAATCGTTTGTGACCCTGCACACAATCTCTGATGGTTGAAAGTGATGGCTGGTTCAAAAAACGTTCGCTGCAAGTGTGCTATCTCTTACCAGCAGCCCGGCCCTCGATGACCTGAGAGATGCTTCCATTGACATAGAAGCGCGCGGCGTAATCCATGGGCGAACAAGCAAATAGCATGGAGGGGGGATGCTGAAGGGCAGTGGCAGTGGCCTGTCCGAAACAATCCTGTTGAATCGGAGAAAAGACGGGCATAAGTGGTGGTGGCTGCGGCGGTGCCGTTACGACAGGCGTGGGAGCGTCACACACTGGCACTGGATTCAGAATGACCAGACTTCGCAGCATCGGGCAGGTGCCAGGGGAGTTAGCGGTGGACTTTTTCAAAGAGGACGGTCTCTGTTGCAAAGGCCGTAGCGCTTCTTTGGCATACTTTGTAGTAGGTCTGGGCAACTGGACACCCTCAGCGAGTGTGGGCGGAAAACTTCCGGGACCACTCGATAGCATGGGCATGGAAGGACGATGATTTGTCAAGCGTAGGCCAGAGTTGTAAGCCACTTTATTGCACTCCATCATAATTGTGATCAAAGGTTTTCGTTTACTTCAGTTCCAGAACTGCATTATTCTGATGGATAATAAATTAAATGACAACAAAAAATAAGTAATATCAAGTAAAATCAGGTGCATTCATGGAGATGTGATCAGGCAATAATTTACTAAGCTATTCAATATCTGCAGACGAATTATAATCATTTTGCGAAGTGGCGCGCGCTTCCTTAGCTACTGGGAGGACAATTTATCAAGTTATGCCTGGCATCAGCAGCCACTATTTTGACTGACGTTTGGAAAATCAGCTATTGTAGGCCACCTGCCTTTCAGTCATGAGAACTAAAGCATCACCTAACGAGGAGGAACGGAAACCAAAGGTGAAATCATTCTTCATTCGTGCAGACCTGTGAAAATCCCTGACAGAAAATTTGGAAGGAGGAAAACTTATAAGACGGAATTTAAGAAAATAATAATCCTCGGGGTATATTATCATGTCCCTCATGATTTCCCCGTATACAATTCCTAACCCACGTCAGACTTATCTTTAAATCATTTTCCCACACGTAAAAATTGTCTCTGAAAAAAATGAATTCAAGCGCTGACAATGGTTAATCTAGTTTATTTTTTGATCTCCCGAAAAAGGAATTCATGGAATTAAAGACAATCAAGATTAATAATAGGTCAATTTCGCGCAAGTGAAACTGGTAAGAACTAGAGAACGAAGATCAGTGCCATAATTGTACGTTCATTACTTTTCGCGGTAATGCTGTTGAAGGCGGAAAATGCAAATACCGGTGTCAAGGAATAATTTTATATTCGAATGCGCTTAAGTAAGTGGCGGATCATGATTTCAAATTGAGGTGCAAAGGTAATAGCTAGAAGATCCGGAATCCTAAAACAGGAAGAACTGTTGCATTTACCTAGAAAACCGTAATGACAAGAATCCTATAAAAATCAGATCAGTCAACATGAATACATGTCGCTTAATCTATAATATTACTAGGTGAAGTTGCCGGCGATTCACGTAACTAGACGATTCGGTCCAAATAGTAAAAACCTAGTTGTTTATTAAGGCCATTTTGCTGTATTTTTCATTTAAAAACTTTCAAAGTAATGAAAGTTTCTTGGCTATCCTAAAAACAGCCGTCTAGTGCTGTTAACATTAATAAAATGTAAACGCAAATTAGTGGAAAGTAAAGATTAGTGGACGTTAGGAAGCCACAATGGCCATCGGCCGCACCAGAGATTCAAATACAGTTAAGAGCATATCTGCTTTAACAACCATCATCTGTTATGTTTGCGTGGTCTGCTATTTATGGCGCTTTTCCAGCATACCCTCGATAAGTTTATCGTCTTTGCTAGATTAACTTTTAAAAATGTGCCCTTCTATTTTTTGAGCCTTTTTTGAAAATTCCCACGGGATTTCTAAATGAAACGATTTCTATATGGATTCTAATAGAACAATTTAAATTAGCTTTTGCAAAACAAACTAAATGGATCGTTTACTAGAGTTTGGCTCGTGCCAGCGACAAACTGATAATCCTTGACATAATCATGGACGTCAGTTGGATTAAATAACGTAAGATAGTAGACTTTGAGTAAGTAAACGTGCAGTGTTAGCAAGCCAGGACGTACAGACACACACGAATGTAAAGACGTAAAAGCAAAGTTCAAAATACAAAATTACAGGCAAGAATATCCTATGTAAACAGGTCCCTTTTACAAAAAAGCATTCTATTAACTGAATAGGTACATGGATTTTAATAACTATACTTTTATGTTTAAGGGGCAACTTAAACGTGGGTCAAAAAACGTTAAGAATAAGCCTTCGAGCGTAAACATTGTAGGACAGTGTACCGCACTATCTGCAAGGATATGCTTCACTATATGTCTCTTAACTGTCAAGATTCAACGTTTGCCTTTTGATGGATGGAGGACCACTTTTCAACGGCAGGTGACGCAGAAACAAACGTGCGCAGAGGCTGAAGAATATCTAAACAGACTTCCTTCTCAAAGAAAGAGAATTAAAGCGTCAAAGTCAGCTTGTCTTTCTTCCCTGTATTCCGAGCCGGGATCCGGGCGGAATATCTCGAGGGAGCTCAGGAGGTGTCATTTATTTAATGTAAACATACCTCGGTAGTTTTGGGGAATTTAAAAGCTTATATATATATATTGAGCGAAAGAGAAAATCAAACAGTAAATAGACTGCCGGTAGAAGCGCCGGGCTTTGTTTAAAACATAAAGCAAACGAGAAACTAAATATAAGGTAAATTTCAGCCGAAATGCTATCACAGTTAAAGTAAAATATGATAGGCAAACGTTTATACTATAGTAAGCATCCTATTTTCATAGAATAGAGAATCCTGCGGAAAAACGAAAATAAATGTGCCACTGATAGATGTTTTTCAAAATTAGCCAAAATATAAGCCGAAGTAATTATTTCCATCTGCTAATGTACATGTTAGTAGCAACAGTGAAAATGGACAAAAAATACTAGGTAGTACACCAAAGATTTACTCAAATTAGAACAGATTTTCCATAGAATTAACTAAGTTACGCAACTTATACATAAATATAAATTATGCGAACAATCAACACTAAAGCACATATCATGAGACAGACTACTTCACAGTTTTCCTAATGAGATCCAGCGAGACCTGAACAGATTTAACCTCAGAACGTTTTTTCTCAGTCTTAAAAGTTAACAAGTTGCCCAAAACTTCAAGCAATGTTCCGTGGCAAAGCTAATGCACTGGACTGCCATTGGACTTGGAATAACGCAAAGTACAACAATCGACACAATCCTTCTAGTACATTGGCCGTTAAACACATTGGTTGACATTGCGTTCCTCCCATTTCGTCTTATTCTAGTCTCTCTAAATTAAGTTTTTTAATCGTAAAACGTGATGCGCCTTCTGGCACTCCTTTCTAAACTGGTAATTTTCAAAATCCATGCCTGAAGTTCCATAGGTAAATTATGTTATGGGTATCCAATCTCGTTAAGTGTATTTTCGTCCTCGAAACCTCAAAAAAATTAAATTCCCTACAGGCAGACAGACTGCTATGTAGCCAAGCGCTGGAAGTATAACTCTCGGCTGAATCGGTTGATTTTTGCAATTAAACATGATATTTAGCATGGAAGTAAGTATTTCATTATATGAATCAATTGAAATCGAAACGTGGTTTAAGAAATATGACCAAGGTTATTTTGTTAACTTTGTCAGTCATTGCAAAGGCCCCAGGGTCTAAAGGATTGTTGAATCACGCAAATACCCCAACTTTATCGGGCTGACTTCTGTGTTAATGTGAGATTAAGTAGAAAAAAGTATTAAAGGAAGATTCCGAGGTCAAAGTAGAATATACTGCTGTAGAGAAGTGACGAGGCGGGGCTGGTGGTGCAGGGGAAAGGTTTTTGATGATAATCTAGATAACATTATAATGGTTTCAAAAATAGAGCAAAGAATTAGGAAGATTTATCGGTGTTTCGCTCAAACGTACGAAGCAATTCAGTGAGAAAAGGGTTTTAATTTACAGCTGTGGTCGCGCGACTAAGATTCATAATACATTATCTGACATAAACATTCAGTAAAGTATGCTCGTGTCGAACAGGTGTTTAGTTAAGCCCAGTCACAATTAAACAATAAAGTTCGTCCAAAAAGAAAATACAATTGTTCTCAAAATTTACTATTCTCTTTGACCGTTACCAGTTTGCCAATAATGTAATGATAAAATGCAAATTTCCGGATAGCGCGACACTTTTGCTGAATTCTCTATACGAATCTTTCGGAGCGTTAGTTAAAACCGCGCGAGAGCAAATGCACTCTTGGAGCTCGAACATTAAACCACGCGCCAAACGTTTTTCTCATATATACCCTTGAAGTGGAAGGTTTCAAGTTGGGGCTGATCATGATTAAATGAACGCCGCCCTTGTCCAAATGATAAACTAATTCGGAGTTAGTTTTGACAAGAGAAGTTAAACCACACGAAATTTGAGTTCAATGCTTGATCTTAATTGGTGTGAGACTCTGGAGGCAATGCAGATCGCATTGAAGCAACGATCGAGATCAGCAAGAGGACATGAGAAATGTAATTCTTAAGTCCAACATACAAATTTGCGATAAAAAAGACACCGTCGCACGAAAAAATGTTAACCTGACGAACACTGGAACACTTACTACAGATCTAAAAATGGCGAAGCGTATTACGTACAGAGACAAAATTCTGTGTTACTACACGCATTACTTCATTTACGAGAAAAAGGAATAAACACTGAAGTTGTCCAAGCACAGGACAATAAAAAATGGCTGGGAAACTGACGAACATTGCAACTAAGGATGGAGATAGAATTTTATATCCAAATGATCAAAAAAATGGTATACGAAGTGTCAAAGTCGCGGACATTGACACTATAGAGTCATACGAAAGAGGTGAATTCCTTTTGAATTGTTGCAACGCGAAAATGCACTGAGGACAAGACCCTGCACATAAGGCCGTCTTTAACACTTGTGAGTAATTTGTTTGAGGCGCCGCCTGGTTGACGAAGCTACCGAAATCACCAGTAAGTCTTTATAAACCGCAGATTCAGATGGTTGAACTACCCTTCCACATAACCCACTAACAATTTCTGACTTACTGTTGAATCAAAAAACCACAATATCGCTGACGAACGGTTTAAACCGCTTCCTATGGTTTTCCAAGCCTCTGTTGAAGGTGTTTGTTTGTTCTTCGATTGGAGTCCTAGTGGAAGTATACAGATATATAATGGGGCAACAATTTGCACGCATGTAATAACAAGCCGTTCAATCTCATTTTACTCGTTACAGAATTAATGAATGCCTTTTATTTGAAAGCTGATGCGTTTTAAAGAACAATGTGGCCTACTCTCTGATACACATGTCCTAACAAACAGACATCCAATTCTGTTTCAGACGCTGGAATCGAGCAGCTGATGAAGGTAATTTGCGGATCGAAGATGAAAGATCAACTTTGGCTGGCCGGCGTGAGATGACATCAGTGTGTGGCTACGG